CACCTTGGGCCCGCCGGACCTGGGCGCAGGGGCGGGGCTCGGATACATCAGCTGGGAGGGCTGGGAGTGGGGTTGAGTGTAGGCCGGGCCGGGTGCAGCATGTCGGGTGGGGGGTCTGGGTGCTCGGGCAGGGCTCGGGCGCAGCACGTGGAGATGTTTGGGGGTACGGGGGCGGGCCTCGCCGCGGTCTCTCAGCGGTCTCCACACCTTCCGTCCCCCAGGATGATCGAGGACCTGGAGCTGTCCAACAAGCGGCACTCCCTCGTGCAGACGCTGTCGGGTGGCATGAAGCGCAAGCTCTCTGTGGCCATCGCCTTTGTGGGCGGCTCCCGCGCCATCATCCTGGACGAGCCCACGGCTGGCGTGGACCCGTACGCGCGCCGGGCCATCTGGGACCTCATCCTGAAGTATAAGCCGGGTGAGCAGAGCGCCACGAGGGCCCGTGTGGGGGTGGCGGCTGCAGACCCCATCCAGCACTGCCCCCTGACCCTGCCTCTGGGCCTGGCTAGGCCGGACCATCCTCCTGTCCACCCACCACATGGACGAGGCCGACCTGCTTGGGGACCGCATCGCCATCATCTCCCACGGGAAGCTCAAATGCTGCGGGTCGCCGCTCTTCCTCAAGGGCGCCTATGGCGACGGGTACCGCCTCACGCTGGTCAAGCGGCCCGCCGAGCCTGGGGCCCCCCAAGGTCTGTGGTGAGGCTGCCTGAGCCGACCTTGGGCCACCCCTTCCCTGGGACCCCCTACCTGAAACCCCGTTTGGGGCAGCTGGGTCCTCACCATTACCTGATGGGTCCACGACACCTGCTGGGGCCCGGCCCACCCTCTCCTGCTGTCCAGCCCTTGACCTGGCTGGGTTCTCGTCGGGGCCCCTCTTCCCCGCCCCGGGTGAATCCCTCCCTGCTCCCCCTCCCTCCCAGAGCCAGGGCTGGCCTCCAGCCCCCCGGGCCGGGCCCCGCTGAGCAGCTGCTCCGAGCCCCAGGTGTCCCAGTTCATCCGCAAGCATGTGGCATCCTGCCTGCTGGTCTCAGACACGAGCACAGAGCTCTCCTACATCCTGCCCAGCGAGGCTGCCAAGAAAGGGGCCTTTGAGCGCCTCTTCCAGGTGCCAGGGCAGGGCTC